GTGAGGCGGATGAGGTTTGGTGAATGGAACGTAAAATTCACGAAATGTGGAACCGAGATGGAATGACTGGGCTTTACAGGAAGAATTTTCACAGATCGATCAATACAGTATGAACGTACAGCCCGCCAAACTGGACGTTGATGGTGAACCCATCTTCCTAGAACGACGTGTAATTCCCTACGGACAAGTGATGGTATACAGCAAGCATTAGAGAAAATGGAGCGCGATGGCCTAATCACACGAGTCACATTTATCACGTGGGCAATGCCAATCGTGATCGTGATCAAAAGTGACGGCAAAACACCGCGATTTTGTGGAGATTACCGATTAACCCTCAACCCGCGGTTGCGAAAGTTTGCGGCTATCACCATGGAACCGGAGGATTTCATGAAAGCATTGCACGGCAGTACATGCTTCTCGAAGATCGACTTGGTTGATGCATACCTCCAGATTCCGCTCACCCCAACCTGCCGGCAATTCACCACCATGAACACTCCATGGGGACTGTATCAATACAACTTCCTACCGTTTGGTCTCCACACATCCTCCGGCATATTCCAGGCTGCAATTGACGAAGTCATCTGCGAACTCGATGGCGTGTTAGCGTACCAGGACGATGTCATTGTATTTGGCACAACAAAGGCCGAGCATGACGATAGACTCCTCAAACTGCTGGAGCCGATCGCTCAAAAGAATGGGTCAATTCGCGCTTCCAAATGCGTGTTCAGCTCACCAGAATTGGAATTTTTGGGCTTCACAGTGGATGCAAAAGGCTATCACTCTGATCCAAGTTGCTTCCGCCCATTGACTGAACTCGAGTCACCAAGAGACCAAAACCAACTTAGATCCATCTCGGGATGTCTCCAATACTATTCGCGTTTCATCTCGAACTTCGCCACAAAAGCCCAACTGCTGTTTGCTGCTCAGTCGACTGCGGAATTGAAATGGACTATCGAGTGTGAACAAATTCTAGATGAGATTATTCAGATGCTAACTGACCGATCAGTAATCGCCTCGTGCTCTCCGACAAAATATCCAACTTTGATCATCAACGCATCAGATGTTCTCACTGGTGCCGTCCCCGAACAGAAAGGATGTCCGATTGTCTGCATCTCTCGTCTACTCAAGGCAGAACGGGGATATTTCCAGACACAAAAAGAAGCATAAGCTGTAAATTGGGCCGTCCGTCGCTTAAACAAATACCCGTTTGGGTTGCGTTTCACTATCATAACCGATCATGAAGCGTTGCAATATCTATTCAGTCCACAAAAGTCGATCTCCAAACCGACGGCGGTGATGATTCAGCGATGGAGCATTGCATTGGATGTCTACAACTACGACATAGTGCACCGTCCGGGAAAAACAATTCCCCAGGCCGATTTTCTCTCGCGATGGTCCAAATTCTCGGAGGCTAAGAGGTTCCATTTCATTGCCACTGCTGCTCCGGTATACCGAGAGGAGTTGCACCGATGTACCAAAAGATACTATGCAGAAATCATAACGTTTCTATCAAAAGGATGGTATCCCGACCTGAAGCGAAAGTTTGCAGCATTCTATGCAAACCGCGAAGAAATCAGTGTCCAACCTGACGGAATACTATGCCGGAACGATCGATTGATCATACCACCTCCGCTACGCAGGTTAGTGCTAGAAGACCTGCACAAAGGCCACTTAGGAGTGGAGAAGATGAAGTCGTTGGTCGCACGATAGATGTGCTGGTGGCCCGGTCTGGATGGAGACATTGGTCGAACTACTAAGAACTGCGAAGCATGCCTACAAAGCAGAAGTCAAAACCGAAGAATTGGGTTCCATGGCCAGAAAGCTGTATTCCGTGGCAACATGTGCACATCGGCTTCTGCGGACCATTTCCAGGTCATTGTCACGCATTAGTACTTATCGACTCTTACTCAAATGGCCTGAAGTGCTTCTAAACAGTACACCAACTACATCGTTTGTGATGCGGTTACTACGAAAGTGTTTCAGTCTAGAGAGTGTGCCTCAAGTGTTGGTGACTGACAATGGGTTGCAATTCTGCGCGGCGGAGTTAAAAACCTGGCTGGACAGTATGGGCTGCCAACATCTGCGCACAGCACCTCGTCACCCATGCTCGAACGGTGCAGTAGAAAATTTGGTAAAAACAGTGGAGAGTGCCATTTCCTCTGCAAATCCAGGGACAATTGTAGAATTGGAGATACTCCCAGACAACTTCCTAATGCAATGCCGGAATGCCGCACATGCTACCCAGTGAAACTGTTCAAAGCCAGAAGCTTACGTTCCTCACTGCAATGCGTGGATTCGAGTGACGTCATATACTTCGCAGGAAACGACTTGCGACCATCAAGAGGAATCATTACCCGCAAGATTGGTCAAGCTATGGTCGAGATCACTGATCTGACAGATGCGACGATTCATCGACACCACATCGACCAAATTCAGTTCAACGAAACTCCAACTTCGACTGAAGACCTTGTCGAAGAAACCCAAGAAAACCCGCCCTGTGATACGCCGTCGACAACTACAGAAGATCAAAATCAGCGGCCCCATATTTCGGGAATGTCTACCGACAAGAATACCCCACTGGCACTCCGACGACCAATCAGAAGAGCAAATCAATTTGACGAAGCTCTCTTAAGAAAGGAGAGTTGGGGTGATCAAGGACTACACGATGTTTCCCATCGCGTTACAGTTTCAGGACATTTGTTAATAATCAAGTTTGAGTGCTGACGTCAATGACACGTGCATGGCTTTTGAATACACGTCATTAGTGGACATATCAAACGGTTGTATCTCTGTTGAACATTCGGAAGATGCCTTTTTATACTTATGACTGTTATATAAAATATATGATGAATCAGTGTTCCGCTTTATAGTCAGTAGGACATTTGATACTGCTTTTCAGTAGTCAGTATACGTATCGATCATTTTCGTAGGAGGGGTCCCCGCGGGTAACGTGCGCCTACTTGACTGCATACCACTAAGGGAATTCTTGGTGCTCGATGGGCTGTGGCCATTTTCTGTCCAGTGCAAACTGAACTGAACTGAACTAAATTGAACTGACGTGATTAGCCGCGCAGTCGAAATTTTCAAGTGTTGCTTCCATTGGTAAACTTAGACCTGGTTCCCACTTATTAACGCGTTTAATCAAAGTTTAAAATCCCTACTCTCGGGCTTACCTTCTGCCATTCACGCGAAGCTCTTTCCGTATTGAACCTAACGCTTTTGCTTGTGTTATACGTGTGATCGTTTTATATCATCTATTAGAGGTTTAACTCTCACACTTTTTAAACTAATTTAATTACCGTCAGTAATATTATCATGCCGCGTGTTTCATTTCCATGCCTTGAATTGTCATGTAGGAGACGCGTTTTATCGGGTATAGAATGTAGTGTTTGCGAGCAGTTGGCGCATAAAACTTTATATCAACTCTCAAACGCATTCTGTAGGCTCTATAGTACTCACGAAGATCTTCTGTGGATCTGTGAAAGCTGCAAAGAGATCGCTAAAACTGCACCAAAAGACAGCCAGAACTCCTCGTCTAACGGTAGTGGTGTGAGATCGTTAGGCGCAAGCTCCACTACGCTCAAGCCGCCACTAGGCCAAGCAAGCAACGTCACTCAGACAACACTCCTTGCACAAAAGACCACATTATTGCTCCCGAAGGAACCACTCGAACACTCGACGCCAAAGACTCATACCGTGAGCGCCCAAAGGGCTCACGATCGCAAGCAATTGAAACTAGTGTCAGCATCAATTGAATGGAGGAAAATAGCCAGCCCTCGTGGCTCACAAACAGTCGTCCATGTAAACCGTACCGCTGTGGAGACACAACACAACTATCATGTAAAACAAACCACGCAAGAACCAACTCAGTGGCAGGAGCAGAAAACGATGATACACTCTGCGCCAGAACACGTCTCTCCGATAATGTCGCGGCCAGAACAGATTCCATCGGGTGAACCAATCCTTCACCCGACACTACTACACGACAGTTCCTGGGTAACCATAGTGCGTAAACAACGTTCAACAAAGTAGGGACAGGTAATCCCTAACAAAACCAAGAACCAGCTAAGGCCGAAATTCACAAACAAGACTACCATGGGCCCAACTACAGGGCAAAGTGGTCAAAAGTAAAACGCTGTACAACGCACCCCAAGTCCAAGACAAGAGAAGCTAAATAGCTCGATAGTGAATCCGTCCACAGCAATCTGTCCATGGCAAAAGACCCATAAGTATCCAACCTTCCGGAAAAGCCTAAGCCTACGAGACCCTGAGGAACAAGCTCCCATAACAATGGCTCTCGCTCGCATCCCACAGCACGGAAGCCAATTAAAAAAACTCTCGGTCAAGTTACGGAAGCAAATAACCGAAGTCAAGATACTTCAGTCTGCCTACGAACACATACAGGGCCGGGCAGGAAACATTCTGATTAGAGCCACAGAGCCCTACATTCGTGTAGCCTCCCAAAGGCTCAAAGCGAAAAAAATATAATTTACAGTGTTCTGAGAAATGCGGGCTGCGACCCTCGCCTGCGGTGGAGGCGAGCACATAGAGTGGGTAAATGGACCCCCAGACAACAACTGCGCCGTGGCAGTGAGTCTCCTGCTCATGGAATTCCACTCCTCCGAGGATCGGGATTTTGTCCTCTCCAAAGCAGAGGTGATCGCGGCAGCAACGGAAAACATATCCATTGGTCCTGACTCTATCTTGTCAAAGACGCCCGCACCAGAGGTCACATCAAACCCTCATCGATTACAGGTCAAAATCGAACGTCTGCGTACAGACAACCGTGATCCAGACAGCGGACCTGATTTACCAAAACTGGTATCACGCTTAGGCTTACACCCGCCGCAGCAGGTAACCTCTGACAAGAGACATTTGTGACGTCCGTTTTATCCGGTGTATTGATCGATCTGTGAAAATCCTTCCTGTAAAGCCCAGTCATTCCATC